CAATACCAGATATCAGCAGAGGTAGACACACTAGCAAACTAAAAAGCTTGAGGTATAAAGGTTGTGGAAAACTCTAAGAGGACATACAAACCATCTTTACTCTGACCTTAAAAAAGAACTTTTTTGGTAATGAGATCAGTGATATAAAAAATAGAGGAGTGAATTTCAAAAAATACATAGTTTTATGATGAATAGGTTTTCTAATATGAGACACAAATAAGACACTAGACAAAGTAAATATGTGTTTTGAAGTATGTAAAATAATGTGAGCTGTATTGGATATGACTAGTCCCTTTCATCACCAATATCCAGTTAATCATTACTAAGATAAGGATCTATAGTTGTCATACTTGCAATGTTTGGAGTAATATGCTGATTTGTACTTGTATCAAGGAACTAAGTGATGGAGTTGACCGTCGAAGCACAAGTGAAAGAGAAGATGGACGAGACTTGATTTTCGTGGGTCACTAATTATGAACACTATTATGCTGAGTGATAAAAAATGTTGTATAATTGACACCTAAACTAATGTGTAAGAGGCCACTAACTTGGTGAAGAATTCTAGTTGTTTCGTTGCTGCTAATTTCCCTCATAGACACGGTTTTACTGCCAATAACAACTACTATTACCACAATAATTTTGACCATCTGAAATAGAGAGAAGTTACAAGTATTCCTCAATCTACTACGACATCCTCTACTTTAATTTGAGAGGAGACACTTCCATTAAAAACAAAAAAAAAACAACGCTAATCAACCAAAGTAAATAAAGGCTGTGGAGGAGTAGGCAACAAAAATGCAATAATATGAATGGATTAAAGAGAGCTCCTGATTAGTACTTAAAATTGCATTTTTATCATGGTTTTATATCATCATTTTGCACTTGAAGTATCAATAACTCCTTAACTAAAATATGTTTTATAATAATGTATCTAATAATATAAAATACCTATAATTTGTGGTAAATGTCTAGTTTTAATGCAGGCCTATCACATAAATGAAAGGATTGATTGATGACTTGAAGAACTTAAATTGCAAGGATAAAGAGATGACCAAACTTAGAAAAAAGATGTCGGTGCAATCCAAACCGGAACACTGTTCGGTAATTGGGTCATATCTGGAGCTACAGATCTCAGATTTAGGTCCAATTTATATGGATGGAAAGGTAAGACATAGGCCTACAACTTTCATATGGAGCCCAAGATCTAAAAAGGCCATTATCAAGTCCAAATTGTAGCAACAACAAAGAAGCCCGAATCTGTCTTCCAGCCCGAGCACTGTTCGGTATTTTGGCCATATCTAGAGTTCTAGAAGTCCAAATGAGCTGAATTGTTTACACAAGAAAGCTGAGACAATTGCCTACAACTTTCATGTTTACAACTGGCTCCAATTTTGACGTTATCAATGACGTTTTGGGCAGACAAGAGAAGATAAGGATTGTCACCAAGTCAAAAGTTGGCCACCCACTTATCAATTAGTCATCAAATCAATAGTTCCCATTTTTGGCCTATAAAAGGAGGCATTTGCCATGCATTTAGGCATCTTGATTTCCAGATCAAGATCATGCTCTTCCTTTCTCTCTTTGTATTTTTTATGCTTTGTTTTCATTAATATTAAGTTTATGCCTTTCATTTCCTTTCCTTTACTTAGTTAACTTTTATGTTCTTATTTTGTTTATCTATTTTGCTTTCTTTCATTATGTCTAGCTAAGTTAATTATGTCAAGGTGAAAAGGTTACACTAATGGTGTAAGAATAAGTATAATGTAAACTTAATATGGACTTTAATGTTTGATACTAACATGTTTTATATTTGCTATCTTGTTCACTCTTTAATACTTTGCTTGTTAAATAACTAATCTTGATTTATGTTGTATAACACTTGGTACAACAAATGCTTGGCACTTTCATAGCCCATAATGTATGGTATAACCGACACCTGAGCTATTGTTTTTTATAATTTTTACAATTAACCTCCCTGTGGTTCGACCCCGGTCTTTCCGGGTTATTTATTACTTCGACACTCCTGCACTTGGGAGAAGACATCAATCTTTTAGTCGTGTCAGCTCCTGTGTAAAAAATCATGGGTAAAAAGTAGATTATGAAAATTAGAATAGGAAAAAAGCTCAACCTTAGTTAATAGACTTGTGATTAAATCATGAAATTCACTATGAAGGCCTAAAAAACATATAAATTAAATTTGATAAGAGAGATGGGTTGGCCTGTTGCTGCCAATTCATTAAATAAATCCTTGTCTTTCTACAAATAAATGATGAAAATATCATTACCTTGACAAAGATCTTGAAAAGAGCCATGTAATTGCATAATCTGAGAATTAGATGGAGAAGTAAGGGTGTGTTCGAGTGTGCTCCAAACATTAGTAGAAGTCAGATAATTAACCATAATATGGAGAACATTTATGGAAAGGGAAGAGACAAAAACACTGAGTATGAATGGATGTTTTCGTTTCAATGAGAGATGCTCAATTAATAATTGAACTGAAGGTGATAGGTGCAACAAAATTAGCACTCGTCATAACATGAAAAGAAGGACATGGAAATAAGCCATCAATAAATGAAAAAACGCCCTAACAAATCAGTTATGATTTTATCTACATCCATTAATAGAGATCATTCATGTTCATGAGTATGAGATAAATCACTTGTTGTGTATTGAAGAGAGGAATGATGGCTGCTAATGGATTAGAGACTGTTGACACAGAAGACACGAATGTGAAATGAGTGGAAAAAAAAAATCATATCAGCATCAGAGAACAATGAGGAAAAGCATTGGATGATATTGATAAACTGAGTATAGGCAATGACACCACTAAAACAGAAGAATCAAGAGAATAAAAATTGATATGAAGGCTGACACCATTAGTAGGAATTTACTAGTAGATAAAACCCATTGGTCATGGAAAAAAAAGTCTATTAAAATAAAGGCTTTGATACCAAATTGAAGAAGATAATAGAATAAAGTTTTGTGTACAAATAGGAGGCTTAACCTAAAATGGTAGCCATCCTCTCTATATATGAATAGGGAAACATACAAAAGACAAGGTAAATTAAACTACCTAGAATAACTTTACACAATGTAAATATAATATTTCATATAACATAGCGTATTATATAATATGAAAGTTATGTGGTTTTTGCTATATTTTTGGGAAGGGGGAAGGAAGAATTCAATCATAATTTTGTACTTTTTACTTAAAAACGAAAAGAAGATGATGTATGAAAAATTTTGGTAAAGCGATTGAGTTGATAACATTGATGATAAGTTGACATGGATAAAATATTACTGGACACGAGTGAATGATACCTTTTTTGTTCATATTAGATATGATTTTTAGTCTATATATCTATTTTCCTTGCAAAAACAAAGAAAAAAGTAGCAATGAATAATTAGTTGTTTAATACTCGTTCGGGTTCAAAGAGCCTTGAAAGAAAATGAAAGGTGATCTTTCTAAGTTGATCCTCATTTCTCAAGCAATGTCTTTCTTATTCAAAACCAAAAATGAAATAGTATGTGGCTTAAAATGCTTAGTGGTGTATGAAATTGTTGCAAATTGTGCTGTTTTGTTCTGATGTGGACAAACAAGCTTTCAAGTGTTGAAATCAATTTAGTATACTAATTTACAACCTTACATTGTAGAGATTGATAGCTTCATACTATATGATTTCTCATAGGAGTCATTAGATAATTGGCCCACGTTTCACTGTGGCCCATATTGATTTTTTACAGCGTAAAAAAAACAATGCTTAAGCATTGTATATGTATTTTAAGGAACAAAAAAAAAAATCCATAACTCCAAATCATAGAAATAGAAAACTAACGAATATCATTCTTTAAAAACCAAAATGTAGATGGATAAAATTAAAAAAACAAATTAATGAAAAAAAAGTCTTAAAAAACAAAGCACTAGCAAAATGAGGTGAATTTGCTAAAAATCGCAAATAGAATCATGCGAATAAGATAATCCAATAGAAAACAAAACATGAAAAAAGACGAAGTTTAATTCTAAAATGAATTGAATTTTAAAGTACAAAATAAATAAAAGATAAAAAAATTACCTAAAAAACTTGGACCACTAAGATAAACCTCCTACCTTGATCATGAGATATGAATAACTTGATTGAAAAGAAACAAAAAAAAAAAGAAAAATTATTTTTCAAAATAAACTTTAAAATATGTACTCAGGAAATAAAATGATATTAAAACTTAGCTTGACCCAACATGTTGACCTGTGACCCAATTTCTAATATTGTTGATTTTTTTTTAATTTGTAGGGTTTTTTCATCAACAAGATTGCACACACTTTTTATGCATGCAATAACTTTGTAACATGGTTTCTAATGATTTTTGCATGCTCTTTGATTGGTCACACAATATATTATTTGGCTCTCTTGCAATGCATTATTTTTTAACATTGATATGGTATTTTTTTTTATATATTAATATAATACATGGCTTTTTTGATGTAGTTTTTTAGATGGAAAAGTACATTTGTGGTCTGATTTTGTTTTTAATTCCTTCAATTATATAGGTTTTTTTGCTTTTGCAATTTTTGTATAATATAAAGCTCTTTCACGCACTAGATTTTACTTATATTCACTTGATTATTCTTCACCTATATAACTGTTTTAGCTTCATGCAACATTGACTTCATTATATCTTCAAATGCTTTTATTTATTTAATTTTGGTTCATAATTATAATATCATTAAATATATTTATTTTGTAAACTTGCATTAATGCATAGAAAATACAACTAGTTAGCACCCAAAAGAAAAAACGAATAAGACACTAATCCACAATAATTACTTTTTATATCTACAATGTTTATACCAAGCCTCTCAGTTTTTTCTTTAATTAATAATAATTTTTGTTAATTGTTAATTGTTAATTTTATAACATATTTATTAAATATGTAATTCTTAAATTAATCAGTTTTATTATGTACAAAAATAAAAACAATAGTTGACTCGTCATTTATCCCAACTTCACTTCTTATTTGACAAGTCGTGGACATCTCGAAAAGAAAAGGAAGAAAGCAAGAAAAAAAAAAAAAAAAGGCAGGCAGGAACTTGCAGTTTGGCTTCCGACGTGAAGCGAGTCATGCAGGATGCAGCAATTGAGAAGTAGAGGGAGCTCACTTTTCGGTTCCCAATTGAAGAGGAAAGCTTTTAATTCATGGACTGCTATTCAGGATACCTATATCTCTACCAAGGTACTTTTATTTATCTTTTTTTTCATTCATTACTATGTTCTTTGTAAACTTGAAACTAAACTAAATTAAATTGAATGGGCATCTCGTATCTGTAATGGTTTTTTTTTTTATTTGTTCTCTTGTTCGGTGCTTGGTTTTGATGGGTTCCTTAAGTTAGTTTCAAAGTGCCTTCTTTTTGTTTGGATTTAGAAGGGTCTTGTACAATTTCTTGCCTGCTTGTATCTTATATTTTGTGTTTCTTATATGTGTTAGGATATATTTGAGAGGCATAAGGTGGTATTTACTATTGGAACTTCTGTAGCATCAGTTGCTACAGCTTGGGCTGGTGAGTTTTTGTTCTAAAATAATTTATGTTTAGTATATTTGTTTTTCCCTTTCTTTAGTGCTTTGTGGGCTTTATGTTTCGTCTGAAGCGATTTTTAGGGTTTTCAATTTTCTATTAATTTACTAGTGTTTTAAATGGGAGTTTGATGCATCAGTGTGAAAACCAGAATGAGTCCCATACGGCCAAAAACCGTTACTTCAATTTAGTGTGTTTAGTTTGAGAAAATCTATAGAATGAATTCAAATGGATTTTGCTATTAAAATGCGAAAAATTTCATTAGCAATGACAGCCTCAATAAAAGAAAACCTTATTTATGTACCAAATTCATTTGGGAACATCCTCCTCTTCCAAGAGTTGCACAACTTCGTTTAAGTTTATGAACTGTTTTTCATGGTCCATCCTCCATCCATCGATCAATGTGGCCAAATATTCCAAGAAGTGTTTTTTTTTTTTTTTTTCAAATAGCTAGTGATGGGCATCGTATAGAAAATTGAGTAAATTATGCTGCAGGGTTTTGCGATTAATCTATATAGCTATGGCTATTTCCATAACAAAAGAAAGAAATGTTTGCTTGTATATGTCAATCATGATCAACACATTTTGCTCAGTGCATGTTTATTTTTGTGTCAAGATAAGTGTTTGTATCCAATTTATGGGTGCTGAATGATTTTTCTTCATTACTCCAGAGTATCTTATTAGTACTTATAATGTGCAGGGTATTCTTTACGCCATCTCCATGATTCAAAAGTTGATCAAAGGCTCGAAGGAATTGAAAATGCTGTGAGTCTCTGTTACATAATGTTAGATAATAAATAGTTGCTGATGCTTATGTTTTTTCTTCTTTCCTAACAAAATGTATACTGATTCCACAGAAGAATATCTTATAATCATGACTGGTAAACCCAAATTAGATCAACTCAATGAGTCTTAATTCCTGCTATTGAGAGGCATTTGAAATCCAACTTAGATCTGCTCAATGATGTCTTAATTCCTACTATTCAGTGACACCTTCTTGAATTTTGTGAATTTCTTATCTTCTGTAAGATTAGAACTGGCTTATAAGATGAGAGTACCATCTTGATTCATCTTCTCTCATCTTGTATCATGTCTGATTCCAAGTAAATGTACATGATCACTTGTGATATGCAGGAGCCCTTCTGTGCCAGCCTCTTTGTTTGCTCCCAAAGTTTTAGTTTTTTGAAGCTACGACAGACAGTTATATGGTTTCATTTACATAATCTTTTTTCTACCCTGCATGTTTTCAAACTACCTTAAAATGGTCCTTTCTGATGCCTTTGGTGTTGAATTGTTTTCTAATAGTATAATTGCTTTTTCCTTTTTTTCTTACATGGCAGATGAAGAAAAACTATCATCTTGAACATTCAGAATTTAAAAAGCTTGTTGATCCAGGACATTCCAGTGTTGCTGCCTGCATTGCTACGGCAGGGACAGCATTTGTCATTGGGTTTGTTCCTAAATGCTTTTCCTTTGTTTATTGTGTTCTTGTTTCTGTTCTCACAAAGTTTAGAGTTATACACAACATTCCCTGTTCCAAATTGATTTAGTCACCTTGTCATTTGGTCACTTGCTTAGCCAAGCTTTATATTTTGAAAAGATGCACACAACGATAATACATGCTTCTCAGCTGGGGAAGGATGATGGAAAGTTGGTCGAGGGTCACTAAGGAAATTACATATGAGAAAATATCTCATGTATACCTAAGTAATTAACCGAAGCAATATGAATTCTGTAAGGTCAGGGTTGTTTCATGCATTCCAAATGAGACTGGGAGCTTGCTAATTGGTTTGAATCTTCTTCATAATTGATTGGAATAGCATTGTACTTTGGGGGCAAAAACATGCTAAAATGAAATCCAGTACTTAAGCAATAATCATATGTGCTGCACTGTCAGTATCTACATCTGGCTAAATCCACTGAATGCTATAGCATTCCCTCCTTCTGGGGAAATCAACACCAGGAACATCATAATATAAGTTGTGGCTGTTATAGTTGGGTTCTGACAAAAACAAACTTGCACCTTGTTTTTCCTGGAAACACTTTCCATACTTTTTAGTGTGTGGTGACTTGGTAGAAACTATGTCAAAAGAGTGTTTTCCAATCAATTAAAAACACAAGGCTTTGATGGAGGGAAGTGTTTCCCTTGCTTAAGATTGGAAAAAACACTTTCCATTTTGCATGTCACATGTTAACATTATTGATGTTTGCGTATTTGCCATTTTAAACTATATTGAAGTTTATTGTTCTTCAGTTTTTGTTTAATAAAACATCTTTATTTGTTCTTTTTCAAGCTATACAGCTTCTCATCCTCTTTTTTTTTTATTGTTTTAAAATTTTAACTTGCAGAATTAATTATAAAATAAATGTATATTGGCTTTTTTATTGGCCCTGTCAGAGAGTACTAATGCCAGGGCTTGGTGGCTTGTTGAAGATCTCTAATGTCATTGAGCGTTACATATTTGGCCTGTGTTTTATCATTGTATGTAGAGTCAACGATGGTTTTACGTGCTGTTGAGAATAATAACAGTCGGATATTCTTCATGGCCTGTGTTTTATCATTGTATGTAGAGTTGATGATGGTTTTACTTGCTGTTGAGAATAATAGCAATTGGATATCGGAATAGCTGCTTTCTTGAGCCATGTCTGTTATGTGATATTCTGACTATTTCACATTTAGTCTTCAACTGAAGACTTCATTTGAATTTCTTAATCATATCTTTACCCCCTTCGCTCAATTACAGGTACGGTTTTGGTTGGCGAGGTGGAAGATGGTATGCAAATAAGAAGTTCAGGAAGGAGCAGATGAAATTGTCAGGGCAGATAAAACCTAGAAGATGGCAGCTGCTAGGACGAATAAAACCTAGAGGATGGCAATTCCAATTTCTCAAAAAAAGATCACCGAGGTCCATAACACCTGAAAATGCTGTTAAAACATCTGAAAAGATGGCTTCCATAGCAACTGAAAATGCTGTTAAAACATCTGGAAAGATGGCCCTGTAATACATAATCCCGGGGAACTTCATCAGTCTTTTTACTGTGATGGCATTTACTCTACTTCTCTAGCTTAGATATCCCGATATAAAAGAATTTTTTTTTGATAGAGTTAGATACTTATTTAACATTTAAAATTGTTCTTTGTTCTGATTTTTCGGGCAAGTAAAATGAACAAATCGTTTGTCATTTTGCTGCTGCTTGCTAGTATCTTCTCAGATACCCTTACCCCCTTGATTCAGACAGTACAGGCATAAGAGATATTATGCTAACAAAATATTCTATTTTTTCTGTTTAGTATCTATGGTAAGCCTTCTTCTATGATATGCTTTTCTATCATCACGGCACTTGTTGAATTCAGAGTTTTCTTGCATCTCTTTGTTTATTTCGGATCTGACTTTGTTCGAATCAATATGAGTCTTTTACTCAAAAAAAGTACAAAATAAAAATAAAGTGGTTCTAGTTCTATCAGTGTTTGGAATCATTAACAACATTGATATCCGTTAGGCTATATTCGAAACATGATTAGTTAATCTAGAAGAGAACAATGTTCAGACTATGACATGATTGATTTTTCCTTATGGAGTGAATGTTAGACTTGGAATTATTCGAATAACCTTGCTTTCTTTTCTGGAGGGAAATAACTGGCCTAAGTTTTCCATTTAACTGGCCGAAGTGCAAAATTATGATGTGTTTTTCAGTTCGAAACAGTATTTCCAGTCATGTCTAAAAGAAAACCAAGATATTATATCTTATTCAATCTTGTGGTGACTATCAATTTCATTGACCAATGGAACAGCATTCCTGCTATGACACTTGTTAATCAAATCTGCAAAACACCAGGTGTGGACTGCAGCAACTTGCTCACCTCTTTCACAGGCATTGTACATGTTGACAATTTGCAAACCAGCACTTGCCTTCAGGTAAGTTCATCTTCTTTTCTGACTTAGAATGTGAATGTGTATCTTGAGTCCCAATTAGTGTGTGGACACTTCCAGGCTAGGCGCCAACAAAGAACTTGATCTGTGTCTAAGAGCAAGTGTATTTAAATTCCAATAACGCAAAGCACCACTACTGAATCAGTTCAAATAGATAGATGGTAGGTAGACAGATTATTAGCCTTTTCTACAAGATGTTAGATACTCTTAATTACTAGTTTGGAAAATAATACAAATTGGATAATCCCTCAATAAGATGTAGTTTGTCAACTTGTTCCATGGCCTTCTGGACAGTGGCGAAAGTAGTGTGGGAGATTCTCTCTTCGATGGCTCATCCACGGGGGTTTTGCTATTTGCAGAAGGGAATTGTAAATAAGTAGCATAGTGGTTGATGAAAGCAAGAGGCACTTGCTCACGAACAAAATAAATAGCAAAATACCTTAGTTGAGTTGGAAGATATATGCTTGCTATGAGGGATTTCAATCAATGATGTAAATTTGTAGAGAGTTTTAACGTACGCACTTCTGTTGAGAGGGAACACAATCATCTTGTCAATATTCCTAAGATAACAGAAGTTGTTGCTTGAGGCCTTTGGCCTGTTTGGAAACGCAGCATATATGTATTTTTTAAAAAATTAATTTTTTATTTAAAATTAATTTTTAAATATTTTTAAATTGTTTTGATGTGCTGATATCAAAAATAATTTTTTTTAAAATAAAAAAAACTTCATCTTGATACATTTCTAAGTGAAAGTACTTTAAAATACAACACAACTACAATTCCAAACATTAAGTGATAATTTAAATAATATGAAAAAAATAATTTGATTAAAAAACAATGAAAAAGATAAAAAAAATTATTCCTAAGCCTATTTGGATTATCAAATAATCTAATACTAACCTAATAGAAGAAAAACCATAAAAAATAAAAAAAAACAAAACTTCAAGAAGAAGAAAAAAAACATCAACTTAAAAAAAAATTAAAAAAACCCAGATGAACCTCCTAAATATAGTCTAGTTTTAAAAACTTACAACTCGTTGAACCATAGACCCGAGTTCAATAAAGAAACTAAACTATTAATAAAAGATGAAATTGTTGAAAAATACTAATAAAAAAACTTGTAAAAGAAAAAAAAAAGCAACAAAAATAATAAGGATAAAATTTTAGAGAAAAATAGCTAAGGAGGATGAAATTTGAAAAAAAATATTTCAAACAAAATAAATAATAATTAAAAGAATGAGTACTTAATTTGAAAAATTAAAAAATCATAGGGGATGAAATTGAAAAATATTCACAATTTAATAGATTATTTATAAATTAAAAATGATAAATGGTGAAATTGTTAAAAGTTATAAAAGGCTAACCCAATAGAATCAAACTCAAGAATTAAGAAAAAAAAAATAATAATAAGGAAAAAAGGAAAAAAAAGGAAAAAAACAAGAAAACCTAGATGAACTTTCTAAAATTGGTTTAATGTCTAAAACCTGTAATTTGTGAAATCCTGGACATGGGTTCAATTAATAACTTAACTCTTAACAAATTTAATTTTAAAGGATGAAATCTCGTAAAGAATATTAATAAAAAAAACTTGTAAAAGAAAAGAAATAACAAAAAGAATGAGGATAAAATTTAATAGAAAAAAACTCGAGGAGAATGAAATTTGAAAAAAATATATTTTAAAATGATTTCAAACAAAATAAATTGCAATTTAAAAAATGATGACCAAATTTAAAAAAATTAAAAAATCACAGGGATGATATGATAGATTATCTATAGGTTAAAAAATAATAGGGGTTGAAATAGAAAAAAATTGTTGAGGACTAATCTAATAGAATCAAAACGTAAAATATAACAAAACAGAACCAAAAAAAGAAAGGATAAAAAAAAAATGTTTATAAAAAGGAAAAAAAAACAAGCATACTCAGTAAATTTTTTAAACCTGATCTAATATCTAAAGTTACAATAAGTGAAATCTTTGACTTGAATTTAATTAAGAAGTTTAATTGTTAACCAATTCTATAAAAAAGAGTAAGGATAAAATTTAATAGAAAAAAAACCAAAGAAGGATACAATTTAAAAAGAAAATTAAAAATAATGCCAAATAAAATAAGTAATAATTAAAAGAACAACAATTAAATTTTAAAAATACAAAAAATCATTGGGGTGAAGTTGAAAAACATTTATAGAAACCAAGTAAACCCAAGCAAATATCTTGAGCCTAGTCATATTTTAAAAACTCGCAACTTATGAAACTTTGGATTCGAGTCCAATAAAAAAAGTTTATTATAAGCCAATTTAAAAATATAAATTTTGAAACTTGTCAAAGAAAAAATTAAAAAAAACAATCAACAAAATAGAGATTAAATTCGACAGGAAATAAAAATAAAGGAGGGTGAAATTATAAAAGAAAAAAGTCATTTATGAAATAAAATAAAAAAATTTCAAGGCTGAAAAATTGACAATAAAAGAAGGGGGATTGAATTTTATAGGAAAAAAAAAGTAAAGAGGATGAAATTATAAAATAAAATCAATTGAAAAAATGATTCTTAATAAAAAAATAACAATTAAAAGAATAAGAACTAAATTCAATAATTTATTTAAGATAAAAAATTATAATAAAAAAATTAAAAAACTAACAAATTCAAGAGCTGATGTTGAATTTTTAAGGGGTTAACGTGAAAATCTAAGTAAAAAAATAGAGGGAGAAATTGTTGTGGGTGCCAAATCCTAACTTTTTTTTAATTATATTTAATAAATATAGCTTATAATAATACCCTTTGAGTATATTTAAAAATTACAATAAAAACAAAAACAATTTAAAGTGACAAAAGAAACCCTGGGGTTAAAGTTCAATGTAATAAATTGGTTTTTTAATTATTTTTTCAATTGAGTTCAAAATAATTATACTATTCTAAAAAGTTAAAAATACAAAAATATTCTTGAGTAATAGGTATTAGAATATTTTATTTGAGGGTTAAATTAGTAATTTTACTTTACAAAATAAAATAAAATTACTAATATGACCCCATATAATTTTAAATAATACAATTGTGTCATAGTGAAAAAACAAGTTTACCCCTAAAATTTAGTGCATTGTTTTTTTTTAATGATAAATTTATAATTATGCTATTATAATAAATAATAATTTGTGTTTTGATGCACATTAGTAATTTCTTATGGAGACTTTTTTTTTAATGATGCATTGTGAAAAGAAGTAACAGAGGATACCTTTTTATGTCCATTTCTGTTGATTCTTGAAATGCAACTGATCAAAGTGAGCCCCATTTGCTCGTAATCCCTTCTTGATTGCTGAAGCACTTCTTCATTCCCTTTTTTTTCCCTTCCTATTGGAATCTTCATTATGGGCATAGATCTACAGGTTAATCTGGTCAAGGTATCAGGTTTTGAGTTATTTAGATTAATTTGAGTTAATTTACAAATATTTTAAAAAATATATTTAAAATTTTAATATTTTATATAAAAATATTAAGAAATAATTTATTTGAATATAAGTTAAACATTTTATAAATATTAAATTTTAAAAAATTATTTTAATTTTTTTTATTTCACGTTAAAAAGATATTATAGTAGTATATTATATTTTAAGCTTAAGTATTTAAACTGAAATTTTTTTTGAATATATATATATATATATATATATATATAAAGGACTTTTAATCTTATTTTTAAAAAATAAAATATTATTTTAGTTTTTATACAGTAAATTTTGAAAAAAAGATAATAACAAACTAAAAAATATATATAAAAAAATCTTTGGTTAGAAAAAAAGTACATTTAAAAAAAAATTCAATTAAATTTTGCCTTTTTTTTATTTATCTCAATTTTTTACTTTAATTAAATTAATTTAACTATTAAATTAATTAGATTTCAAGTCGATTCACCAAACTGGTCAGGATTTAATTAGTAAATGTGATGGGTCTATTTTGCGTGCTCTTACTGGACACACAAATTGTAAGGCAAACTCAAGAATGTGAACAAGGATTTCTTTAGTTTTACCATTTTTTAATATGAATGTGGTCGAGATAATTTTATTGATAATTAGAAAAAAAAATGGAGATCACGGCCATAGAAACCTCAACTAACAGGAAAATTAGAAAATAGTTTTGTACAAGACTTTGTCTTACGTTTGCAAGAACACTTTTCTATATTTCATTTCTCTCAATTTTGTTCAAGATTTTGTCTTACGTTGCAAGATTTTCTCCATAAGGCTTTCTTTTGCATTATTTTCCTCTTATTAATTATTATTAAATTAAACATAAATATCTTATTTCTTCAGAAATACTCAAGTACAAACCCAAGGCCTTGCACCTCCAAATAATATAAATTACATTTTATGTGAGAAGTTTTTTTTACAATTTCATCTCTAA